TATATAGTGTATATAGCAAAAATATAGTGTGTGCATATTTCTATTTGAGTTCCTTTCACACTAATGCCTTCTAAGCACATATGTAGGGACTCGCACTACTAAGAAGTCTGTATCGATTTGCATTGCAATTTCAGCACATTATTTAATTTACATGAATTTCACATATAGTTTCACATATAGTGCCCTTCTGTCTGTCTGTGTGTGTGTGTGTGTGTGAAAATGAATGGTAACAGAAGAAGCAATGTTGATACAATCAATATGGTGAATATATGGAACACAAAATAAAGGATACTCAAGGATATACGACTCATATGGACATTGTTTTATCGTCTGGAACAAAGTTCTCCCGTCCCTCAGTGGCTTAAGTATAGATTAGGTTAAAAAGTCACTCCAGTTAACTTAATTCTCCTTCTTGTGACCTGCAGTTACGCCGGCCATGGACCTGAGGCCCAACGCTGGCAGTGACCGGGCGTGGGTCTGGAACACACTAGCAGATTATGCTGACGAAAGCCCCAAACCTGAATACCTGGCAATACGCTTTTTAAATGCAGAGAGTAAGTATTTATACATTAAATCCAGTGAAGTGAAAAAAAACGGTCCATTCTCTGCATCTAACTCCGTCATACAGCAGCCCTTTGATGTGAACACACACTCACTCTCTCCGTCATACAGCAGCCCTTTGATGTGAACACACACTCACTCTCTCCGTCATACAGCAGCCCTTTGATGTGAACACACTCTCACTCTCTCCGTCATACAGCAGCCCTTTGATGTGAACACACTCTCACCTCTCCGCATACAGCAGCCTTTGATGTGAACACACACTCACTCTCTGTGGTCATACAGTAGCCCTTTGATGTGAACCACACTCTCACTCTCCGTCATACAGCAGCCCTTTGATGTGAAACACACTCACTACTCTGTGTCATACAGTAGCCCTTTGATGTGAACACACTCTCACTCTCCGTCATACAGCAGCCCTTTGATGTGTGAACACACTCTACACTCTCTCCGTCATACAGTAGCCCTTTGACTGTGAACACACACTCACTCTCCTGGTCATACAGCAAGGCGCCTTTGATGTGAAACACACTCTCACTCTCCGTCATACAAGCAGCCCTTTGATGTGAACACACTCTCACCTCTCCGTCATACAGCAGCCCTTTGATGTGAATACACTCTCTCTCCGTCATACAGTAGCCCTTTGATGTGAACCACTCTCACTCTCCTCCGTTCATACAGTAGCCCTTTGATGTGAACACACTCTCACTCTCCGTCATACAGTAGCCCTTTGATGTGAACACACTCTCACTCTCCGTCATACAGCAGCCCTTTGATGTGAACACACACTCACTCTCTTCGTCATACAGTAGCCCTTTGATGTGAACACACTCTCACTCTCTCCGTCATACAGTAGCCCTTTGATGTGAACACACACTCACTCTCTCCGTCATACAGCAGCCCTTTGATGTGAACACACTCTCACTCTCCGTCATACAGTAGCCCTTTGATGTGAACACACACTCACTCTCTGCGTCATACAGTAGCCCTTTGATGTGAACACACACTCACTCTCCGTCATACAGCAGCCCTTTGATGTGAACACACACTCACTCTCTCCGTCATACAGCAGCCCTTTGATGTGAATACACACTCACTCTCTCCGTCATACAGCAGCCCTTTGATGTGAATACACACTCACTCTCTCCGTTGTGTTTGCAGATGCTCAGAAGTTCAAGGTGAAGTTTGAGGAGTGCCAGGCGGAGGTCAGAAAAAGTCTAGCCGACACAGGTACGTAAAACAAATGTCTTATCCAGAATATGCTTAGATTAGATTGAATGTTTCTCAACAAATGTGGAAGTGTGTGTGTGACCATCGCTTTTACAATTGAGTCATTTCAGATGTGTAAATGGTTTACTAAGATTTGTAAGGTGGTAGCATGACATTATTTTCATGACTCAAACACACTGAGGGTTTAGTGTTGTGATTTAGACTTGTTTATATTCAATTCAAACTAGGTGTAACATTATGTAAACCTGACACAAACAGTAAGGACATTTGTGTTGGGTAGATGATTTCTTTGTGGTAACAATGCTTCTTGGCAAAACATCTTATACCGTTGGAAAGCCTGTTAATTTACAAATGGTGCCACAAATGCATGTCCCTCATAAACGTGGCACCATGTAAAAAGGTAAATAAACAGGCTTTTTGTGTTAAGATTGACAGGGATGCAGACTCACTCTGTTTTTTGCTGTTCACTCCGGCCTAGAACTTTTTTCTGACTGCTAGATAACCGCGCAGAACGTAGTACTTCACCTGCTTTCTGATAAGCTGGTGTCAGTACGTTCTGCTACATTACAATCCCGATTGATCACATCACCAGTTATCTGATCGTATGTTATCAGGGTGTCTGCGGGGTTTTAAAAAGTATTACAAGTATTAAACGGCATTTTCCAAGGTATTACATTTTGTAGCTTGTTTTCAATGAGTATATCAATTGTCCAAAGAGGTTGTATTCTACAGTCTGCCTGAATGTAATCATTGCGTAGGTGTGTAGTGTGATTCTGTGTAGTTTATTTATGGCATCCCGTTGGATTTGACATCATCAGAACAGGACATCGCACGCTCACTGCTCGATAGCGCGCGAAGGTCCGTTTACGCCGGTTGTTAAACAACATCGTTATGGGGAAATGCAAGTTTGCGTCCAAATGGTTGGAAGATAAGGAGGAAGGACAATCAATACTGTATATAGTACATGTGAGGTAAAGTGTGTCGCCAAGGTAACCGATTAAAACTCCAAGTGGCGATGAGGTCTTCAAATGTATGGAAAGGGTCTTAAAAGGTCTTACATTTGACGTCAGGATCCCTGCATATACCCTGGTTATGTTCTTGATAGTAATGTAAGATGCAAAGTTTAAATATTAGCATTGTTTTGAGTTGTGTTCAAAACGTTCACAAATAATTGACAGCATGTTTTCACTGTTTTGGCCGCAGGCGACACCGATAGCGCGAACAAAGTGGCAGAGAAGCTGGAGGAACTCTCCGTCAAAGAAAAGGCATCAGAAGAAAACAAGACAAAGGTCAAAAAGGAGGTGAAGAAGGAGGAGGTGAAGAAGGAGGAGGTGAAGGAAGAGAAGGTGAAGGAGGAGAAGAATTGAGAACCAAGAACTTGCTTTGCTGATCTTCAACTTATCAGTCTTTCCTCTTTTTTCTACAATAGACTCTTAAATGAACAGAATTTGGACACTTGCATATTGTTAGTATTTTTTTTTTTTTTATTATCTGTTTTGCCTCAAGATCACAAATCATTGATGCCACTGGGGGGAGGGGGGGGGGATACAAGATAATGAATTTAAGAAAAAATAAAAAGCCCATTCCTTGCACCTTGGACTGCCACGCTGTCCATCCTCGCCATCTACAGTTAAATGTTACGAGCTGTGAAGCAGGCTTGTGACCGTGACATTCCTACATTGGGGTCTTTTTTTAGTTTTGTTATTCTGAAGCAGTGTGGGAGAAGAGAATGTAGCACAGGGTCAGGGACCAGGCATTATAGAGGTGCATTATACCTGTAAAATCCCATAATGCATCACAGTGAGCCATCTTAACCCTGTCCACTGTCAATGCGTCCACTGTGAGAGTCAGCAAGTGAGGAGAAAAAAGACTTCTCAGTGGACGCCTTGTAGCAGTACTTTCCGGTTCCTTCTTTCGTCAGTACTGATCGGAGAGGAATCCACTCCAGACATTCGAGGGTCATCAGATGCAGAATCCACTCATCTAAGCATTTAATTTCTTTCCTTTTTTTTGTGTTATTATCTTAAAATGTCCAAACGGTTCATCGTCAGAGCGGCGGCGCTCTGACTTAAGTTCCTCACCAGGAAAATTGAGTTTCTATTTAGATCATAACATTCCCAGACTGTAAGCATGTAGAGTGTATGTAACCGAGTGCCCTTTCTGATCTGTGTGCACACCACCCTCCTTTTCTTTCCACTAATGGAGTTCATAACCTCGCCTCTATAAAGTGCATCCAAGTGCCAGTGCATCTGTAAATACATGGTTGAAATGTTGCTTTTCATTTGCACTCAAATGATTTGAAATGTTTCCGCTACCTTCGAATAAAAACTGTCAAAGACCACCTTTGCCTTTTTGTATCAAAATCCCTCGCTTCCTGGGATAGATGATGATAAAATGTGCTAAGAAATACACAAAAGTACAAAGCTATATGCTAAGAAATATAGTTTTAACCCTTGTGTTGTGTTCAAAAGCTGTTATCGTTCATGGTGTTCGCGGGTCAATTTAGACCCATGATTTATCTCAGTCCAAAACACACAAAATGACTCATCCAATATTATTTTAAATACATCATAACTAACTTATTATGCATTCATAACCGTACAATCCTGTTATTTTATTTTATGGCCCCAAAACACATTACACCACATATGGCACACGTGCATGTGTGTGTTCAGGTTCAAGTGTTGGTGTACATATTCTTTGAGAAAGGTTGAGTTCCCGTGGGGGGAGGGAGGGGAGACGAGGTGCATGTTGCGAAAAATTATTGTTAGAGTGGATGAAGGGGGTGGGGGAGGGGCGTCTAAAGTCAAAGATGAATCTTGATTGGGTCAAATTTGACTCAGTCACCCAAAACAATTCTGCCGGGTCTCCCCAGACCAACACCAAATTATACACTTTTTTTAAGAGACCTTCAGACTTGGCTAAAATGGTAAAAATCAGTTTTGTAGTGTTTATATAGCTGTTGTGGAGGATATCATGAAGCCTTGTTGCGATAAAAAAAAACGAGCGTAGTTATAATATATTTTTAACTTGAAACGGGTCATGGGAGACCCGAACACAACATAAGGGTTAAAGGAGTTAATGGCATTTGCAAACATTCACTTGGTTTGCATTCTCTTATAAATGTCAATGTAATTATTATTTGAACAGACTATACAAGAAATAACAATGCTGTGCAGATTATTAATTCACAAGAATGAATTCACTCCAAGAGTTGAACACTTTTATTTACTCTGCTCATTGGGAAATATTTCCTCTTCACAAAAATAGGAACGCATTTACATTTATAGTATATTCTATATTTTAATACATAATGATCTTTCTATTTGAGCTTCAGAAAACACATCAACTCGCGGCTGATAAATGAAACAGATTACTTTTTTCTGACTGTCAGGAATGCTCCCTGACCTGCAGCGATGTCCATCCCCAAATAAAAGAACGTTGGACTAATGGCAGTCATCTTAAAGAGGAATGACATCGATCGTGTTTCGATATGTGTTTGTGATAGACTCTTATTTTCAGAAACTCAGGTATTTCATTACGATCCAGTTTGCAGTTTCACCGACAAAAAACCCATCAGATCTCCCCAAAAAACATCCTTTCAAACTTCAGCCTCACAACAATTCAAAAATACATGACTTATATAGATTATTATCCTGTTTCTCAACATTACTGTGTTCATGGTAAGGCAGCTGGGTGAGACCTTAGTAGGGGGAACACTCACTACCTCAGTTATTGACCTTTGCACCCTGATCTCTGGACAAAGGAAAGGATGAATGCACCAGAAACGGGAAGAAAACATATTCTTGAAAAAGTGATTCAATTTCCTTTACCGTGTACATCCGCCTTTCCTCCAGAACCATCCGCTCTTAAAGGGACAGTACACCGCCAAATTCATATTTTCCTTTTACCTGTAGTGCCATTTATCAATTTAGATTGTCTTGTCGTGAGAAATGGCTATGAAAATATCGGCCTTCTCTCGCATATAATGTAAATCCAAACCATCTTAATTGATAAATAGCATAACAAGTAAGAGGATATTAATTCATATTTTAGATTTTGTGCTGAACTGTCCCTTTAAATGTTACCCAGTCCTATTTAGCTCCATTTACTGCTTGATACATAACACTAACGGTAATTCATTGCCCCATAGTGTACAATAGTTTTCAACCAGTAATGCGTTATCTTCTCAAAAGGCAACAATGGTTTATTTGTCATGCAAATTGCAGTCGGACCAAATCCACCACTTCCAACATCCATGTCAATTCTGGCTTATTCTTTCATATTCAGTTCATGCAAATTAAAACCTTCCACTTACATAATACTAGTCTGTTTAATGGTAAAAATTAATAAAACATTTTAGACTTTAAAGCAACAAAAGAGAAAGGTTTTGTATCTCTGAGTAGCAGGAGATACTGGAGCTGTACCAGACAGCTGCTGCAAATTCATTTGACATTTTCAGTCTTCCTGATGTCACCCATTCACCGTCTTTGAGAAATTAAGGGGGTGTGTAGTCACTTTTTGGCACTGAAATCTCAAGGCATCTTCAATTAAAAGCCCAATATGTGCACACATTTCCCTTCCTCACATCACTTATCCTGTAATAACATTTCATAATCCTTTCTTATACACTTCAAGGCAGAACATTGACTTTTCTTCTTATAATGACTTCATTTATTTACTGAATTTATAATTTATTAAGAAAAAAAAACTCCACTCAAAATAAAAACATCCATTCCAGGCTTAGTAAAGTGTATAAAAAAAGATGTATCAAACATAGCTTTTGAAAGGTTGGCTATATAAAAATGAAACAAACCCATAAAAAAAAAAATAGAAACAGAATAATGAATAAGCAACCAGTTATCTTCATTTCACTACATGGGACGATGGCTTGTACACCTCTTTCCATTCCTATGATTATAACATAAACAACTAACAAACTAAACACAATTTCTTATTTTTTCTTCAGACAGAAAACAGAAAATCGTTTTGGTTGTGCAAGGCTGGACTCGTTCTGACTCTTGTGATGAGGTAATGTTATCTTTCAGAACAGAATCTATCCGTCCTGCACTCGTGTCGTGTTGAAATCACCCGACTGAACTCCACTAAAACAAACAGAGGACGATGTACTGCACCTTTAAGAAGGGAATACAAGGGGCTAGTATAATCAAACCCTATCATGTAGCATCTCTGCTGGTTGCATTCAGTCCTGAGAAACTTAATTTTGATGAAATGAACCATGTCAGGAATTAAATGCAATGAGCCAGTCATATATGAGACAGGTTGCCCATTATCCAGCTTAGTACACGGCTGCTCACTAAAGAAATCAACAATTTGACTCGCACTATAGATTTAGTTTTCTTGCTTTTGTTCTGTTGCATTTACGTGGAACAATTTAGTCATCATGGATCCAAAGTGTTGTGCTAACCACAAATATAAAATGTAATATTCAAATAGTATTCCACAGTGTTTTTTGTGAAGGCGGGACACTAATTTTTTTTTTTTTTTGCAACAACTGACGTAAAATTGACCGGGCTTCTTCCCGCAGATGAATACGACTGCACATAGTCCCTTCATCAGAGCAGCAGTCTGCTATCGAAAAAGAACAGACTGTTGAATGTCCAAATTGACCAATCAGAATCAAGTATTCAATTTAGCTGTGTAATCAAGAGTGGTGCAGGAATGAGTCCTAAAACACGGAAATTAGTTAGTATTTTAAAACTTCCTGGTCTCCAAGTTAGCCATTTTGAAAGTGTTTTTGGTTTGACCGCTGAAATAAGGTCTGTAGTCAACACAAGCTGAAGAGACGTTCAAAACATAAAATACATCAGTAAATAAATACCCCCTGCAGATGTCAACAAGTGACGATATAAACTACTAAACGTAATCTTGCGTCATCCTTTAGCTTAGCACAGGTAATGCACAGCCATGCAACAGCCATATGATCGTCAAGTGGTGTTAATATGTGGCGATGACCCTGCTAAACAACACGTGTAAAGTATCATAAATGTGTGTTTGCCATAGATCGTATTTTCTGCAACAAACTTGAATCCAATGGAGCAATCCCCTTATCCAGGGACCCCTTGCGATGCTAACTTCTGGGTTAGCCTACAACACATGTCATCACTGCACCACTCTATATGCTAAATCTCAATGGATTTTGATTGCAACCACCAGACATGATATGATACGACTTCCCTTTCTCGATATCCCCCTTTCTGAGATATTCATCACTTGTGTCTATGCATGAGGTGCTGATCTAAATGACCCCTCCTCCATCACTTCTCAAATAATACTAATACTCTGGAGAAGGCATGAAAAGTACACGTTAATGTGAAGCACCTTGAGGTCAATCCACTCAGAAAAAAAATGTGTTTTCTCACAGAGCTCCATGGTCGGGATGTCGGTGTTGAATCGTGGGTTTTTGTTCAGCCTTCAGCAAAGTTTGTGAGACATTCGGATCAACATTCGCTCCATGACCACAGCTCAGAGACAACAGTAATAACATTAACAGTCCACTTTTAACCACCAAGATGATGCGCCACAAAATGTTAACAACAAAACACTCCTTACACACACTGTATCTGACAAACAACCCCTCACACACACACACACACAGGCATTTGGCTAGACGGACCCACAGAAGGGCAGACAGATCCTCTGATTGGACAATAACTGTTGCCCCATGTTATTGAGATATTGAGGGCGGTCGTTGGAGGTGGATCGTCTCACACTGATATCTCATACGTGGTGCCTCCTACACCCGTCACCTTTTTGACGTTACTGTGACGGCTGGGGCTCAGGGTGGGACAGTCCATCTGCCCGTTTACTTTCATGGCCTCTCTGAGTGGGAAGAGAAGAGCGAGGACAATTATTTAACACAAGATTCAACACAAACCTAAACAGTAAGGGTCGTAGCAACATGCAGGTTAGTTCAGGCGCTCTGGACAGTTTCATATGAAAATAACAGAGGAGATGCATAGACAGTTGGTAAGATAAAGGGCTGGGCAATATAGCATTATATATAAATATAATCGTATGAGGCTAGATATTGTGTTAGATTCTGGATAGTGTTGAAAGTGTCCTTCCCTGGTTTTAAAAGGTGAGTAATTTGCTTTGTTTTAGCAGCTTAGTCATGATATCTACATAACTGATGATTGTTTATTAAATATCTCATTGTGTAAACATTTATAAAAGCTCTCATAGTCAGCCATACGATATCGTCACACTATCTATATTGGGGTATTTGTTCAAATACATTGTAATGTTTTAAATAATCCATATCGCCCAGCCCTAGTTGGAAGTGTCCTTGTTAGTGAGACTTGGAGATGTTAGATGAAATAAATAAAAAGCATGCAAAACAAAAAGAAATGAGTAGTTACACAGCTTTATTAACTTGTGAAATAATACAAAAATTGATATTTTTACTAGAAAGGCGAACATATAAATTCCCAAAATACATGTAAGAATTCACACCAGACAGTTTTAAACATGAATAAATGGACTTAACAGTTAGACAAACACCGTATACAAACGCTACACATTGCCTCGGTTAGGACTAGTGCTCTAGTGCCCCTCAATCTGTGTGTGTCCAGCAGGAGGAGCAGGGTCTCCAGCGGGAACACATTCAAAGCATGCAGTCCCTCAGGGGGGGGGACGTTAGGTTTCATACCTTGGGCCCCCCAGACGAGGGGAGTCTGTCCTCTCTAGGGCACTGATGTAGGAGAGTTTTTGGTGGGAGTAGGAGGGGGATCGGGGCATGGCGGGGGAGTGGGGTTGGTGGGCCGGGGAGCGGTAGAGACCCTCGGGGGGGGCGGCCCTGCTCTGGCTGCTGTTGCTGCTACTGTGATCCGTGTGGAGGGAGGTGGAGGAAGTCCTGGGGGCGCGGCCCAGCGTGGAGCGTAACGCTGGGGCTCGCTGCCCATAACTCACCAGCCCGACCCCCATCAGGTTGTCCCGGGACCCTCCGTAGGCGGGAGGTGTGGGGCCTCTGGAGACGGAGCCACGAGGCCCGTCCGGGTAGCAAACACTCGGGGGTAAACCGTAACCCCCGTCAAACACGCCAGAGTCCTGGGCGTAGATGTGGGTCTGAGAGCGCCCGTGAATAATCTGCCGTTTCTCCCGCTCCTCCATGTCCTTCCGCTCCTGGATGGAGGCCATGATGGTCTGGGAGAGGTTGTCGTAGCGCACGGGGGACGGGTCGCGGTCCCGCAGGTGAGGGGAGGGCTGCCGGCCCACCGCTCTTTGGTGCATCACCGGACTGTAGGCGGAGGAAACCTGGTGCCTCTGCATGTCCGTTTCCCGGATGTGGCACATTTTGGTGGGCAGGTAGGGCGAGTGGAAGCCGCTGGAGGGGATCCCGCGGTGGGACGGGCACTCGCTGGGGGGGGCCGCTGGAGAGATGCTGGGGTTCAGCAGGCTGTCGTAGGAGAGGCTGCCGTTGCGGTTGGACAGCGTGTTGGGGGAGAAGACGCTCTTGTACGGGGTGGAGGTGAGGGTCTGCGGCTGACCCGTCTCCAGACGCCGCTGACCCTGATTCAGGCTGAGGGAGCGGGAGGTCAGGGGGTCGGAGTCCAGCTGGTGGGGGTCGGACTGGAAGGTGCGGTGGAGCGGGGCGTTGGTGTACTCCGGCAGGTCCAGGTTCGGCTCGGATCGGTAGTCGTGACCGCGGACGCCCTCTTCCAAGATGGCCGAGGTCTTCCGCTCATCTGGCATGACAATCTGAGGAGCAGAAAAACCCGTCAGATCTTTGTGGAGCTGTGAGGGAAGTGTTTGTCCCTAACAGCTGCTATGGAAAGCTGAACAAGCCATAACACCGTGGCTATAGAGAGCTGTAGGAGTCTTAAAACCTAAAGAAAACACTTTTACCATTGTGGTTCCCTCATCTCAAAGTCATATGGTTTTTAATGTTTTTAAACTAAAGCATGAGAGATTTTAAAGTGTTGTCCTTTGAAATAAAATCCACCAGTAAATACCAAACTTGTGAATGGTGAAGCTTTTATGTGTCCTAAAAAGGCGGTAAATGAGACTGCAAAGGAGGGGACATTAAACTTAATCACGCAGAAAATCTACTCCTTAGTTTGAGATGCCTTTTATGTCTGGCATTTAGTGGTGGTGTTAATTGGTTATCTTGCTGAAAAGTATCTTGAATGTTTGTTTCCCGTACAGTTTTTGTCTGCAATCATCAAAACGAATCCCATCAGCTTTTTGTAGAGGGCACCAGTGGCATGCTCACTTCTGGGTCAAATAAAAATATACCTTATCCCTGCAGATATCAATTTCTCTTATGTACATTGCCTTCATCTATCTATCTATCTGTCCGTCCGTCCGTCTCTCTATCTATCTATCTCTCTCTCTCTCTATCTATCTATCTATAAGTGCCAAACCCCTCATGTCTCACCTTCTCTCCAGCGGGGTGGTAGTGGACTTTCGGCATGGTGCCAAGGGACGGTCTGAACTTGTACATGGCTGGAGTCAAAGGGTGGGTCTTACCAGAGAGAGAACTATCTAGAAAAAACACAGAGAGAGAAGAGCAGAGTTAACACCGTGCAGGAAACAGAAACTATTACAGCCGCTCTGATTGAAAGTCAGTCTGGGAGAAATGACAACACCTCAGAGATGAATCAGAGAAAAGAGGCTGTCGGGATTGAGTTCTTAAAAACACAAAAAACACTTGCTATTCCTGCAAAGTGAAAATAAATCAGAGTGGCTGGGTTGTCAGACTGTAAGAGACCATGTGACTGATATTAAACACATTTCAATCCTGCAACAGCATGGGGTCCATTCATGACAAAATACACCGTGGATTAAATAACATTTGGATTAGCTTGTGTCTATGATGCAGTTTGAGTACTTTGCTTAAAAACTATTAAAAAAGTTACTTTCCATGTCCTGCATTTCTATTTCTTTGTTCCTTTTCGTCTACTTCATTTATTTGATAACTCTAGTTACTTTAAAGATTAAGATGTAATACAATATAAGTGAACAATACATTTATGTGGTAAACGTTATTGATACATTGGTGAACATTACAAGCTTTCCCAGCAGTTTGTATAGTCAAAACGAAACCAGATGAAACAAACAGATGAATGCATCAATTATTAAAATCCAATAGCATATTCCAATAGCATATATATACACTGCGGATTACTTTGTGTACCTTTAGGATATTTTGAAGCTATTATTGTTGTGCTTTTATATAAGAAAATGTTGAATGGATGACTTTTAAAGGAGATGTTCTATGCTGTTGTATTACTAATTGTACTAAAACCAAAGATCTGTGAACCTCTGCTCTGAGGGATATGCAAAGTCTACTCTTTACACCTCTTCTGAGTATTCTAATTTAAAGGGGACCTATCATGCAAAATGCACTTTTGTACGTCTTTTATACATGAATATGTGTCCCCGGTGTTCCAGGGAACTCACCAAGTGTCAGAAAACACAACCCTCTCTATTTTCCTCCATACCCAAATCTCTAAAAAAAGGGGCTGCAACGGATCTGATAAAAACTGATCCAGATTTGAACACTGTCCTGACGTCAGGACGGTGGCGCTACGGCTATTGGGCCAACTCCACCAATCAGGAGGAGACAGCCACGGCCATTGCCGTTCGAAAGCGCTGGAGACGCTGTAGTACATATGCCAGGCCAGTAGATGGTGCTGTTCTCACAGAATCTGCCCTTGCAGAGCCAAAAAAAGTGCAAATTGAGCGAAATGAGGCATGGCTAAAATGCATGATCTGTTTGGTATTTTGAAAACAGAAACGTATAAATATGCCTTATATAGGTATGGCCCTACAATATATTATTTAAATATACCATGATAGGTCCACTTTAAAAAAAGGGAGGAAATCCATTTAAGCCGGCTGCAGTTCTTTGAAGTACCAGCAGGGTGTGATGTTGCTCCATGGAAGAGCAGGAAGTGTTCCCTCCCTGATATAATGCAGCATGGCACTGGAGATCCTACAGAATAGATGTATATAACTGACACCTCCTATTATTAAATGCATCACATTTAAGACCATTCCCTCTCTCACTCTCATACAGGATATGTCACAGTTCATATTTCCACTCATTGTTTTAGTTACAGTCCTGATTCTACACCTTATTCCTCTCTCATCCTCCATGAGGCACAGCTCTGTGAAACGCCACCAGACAGGAGAGCTGGTGATTCATGGTGCGATGATTCACTCTGAATTCTCTCTAAGATCTGATTCAGTGAACAAATCTGGCCTCCTTGTTACAAATCACGGATATTCTCCGGCATGAAAAAGGCCAATGACCTGACACTGGGACATTTATCACGCTAAATTAGAGGCAATCACACACTGGTGCTGTACAGAGGGAGCTGGGGAGTTGCTGTATTAATACCAGCTGTGATGGAAATTGAGCTAATCAAGGTTTTTAAAATGTAACCCTAAAGAAATGTTATCCTGAGGTATTGTGATCCGAAATGAACAGATGTTTTAAAGAGTCCTCTCCTGCTGATGTTCAGGTGTATATCAGTATGGTAGTGTCTCTACTTAAAGAGTCCTCTCCTGCTGATGTTCAGGTGTATATCAGTAATGTAGTGTCTCTACTTTAAAGAGTCCTCTCCTGCTGATGTTCAGGTGTACATCAGTATGTAGTGTCTCTACTTTAAGAGTCCTCTCCTGCTGATGTTCAGGGGTATATCAGTATGTAGTGTCTCTACTTTAAAGAGTCCTCCTCCTGCTGATGTTCAGGTGTATATCAGTATGTAGTGTCTCTACTTTAAAGAGTCCTCTCCTGCTGATGTTCAGGTGTATATCAGTATGTAGTGTCTCTACTTTAAAGAGTCCCTCTCCTGCTGATGTTCAGGTGTATATCAGTATGTAGTGTCTCTACTTTAAAGAGTCCTCTCCTGCTGATGTTCAGGGGTATATCAGTATGTAGTGTCTCTACTTTAAAGAGTCCTCTCCTGCTGATGTTCAGGGGTATATCAGTATGTAGTGTCTCTACTTTAAAGAGTCCTCTCCTGCTGATGTTCAGGTGTATATCAGTATGTAGTGTCTCTACTTTAAAGAGTCCTCTCCTGCTGATGTTCAGGTGTATATCAGTATGTAGTGTCTCTACTTTAAAGAGTCCTCCTCCTGCTGATGTTCAGGTGTATATCAGTATGTAGTGTCTCTACTTTAAAGAGTCCTCTCCTGCTGATGTTCAGGTGTATATCAGTATGTAGTGTCTCTACTTTAAAGAGTCCTCTCCTGCTGATGTTCAGGTGTATATCAGTATGTAGTGTCTCTACTTTAAAGAGTCCTCTCCTGCTGATGTTCAGGTGTATATCAGTATGTAGTGTCTCATACTGCCTGTGCTGCAGCACCTCTTTTCACCCTCTGTCTGAAACCAGAGCCCAGTCTGCTCTGATTGGTTAGTTGGCCGGCTCTGTTGTGATTGGTCAACCGCTTAGAGATTGTCACGTACAATGTGTTGGAGCGCGAGCAAATTAAGGATAAAGTGTGTTATAGACTTCAAGATAAGGGTGCAATGGAATAAGGTCATGTTAGGGAATGCAGGTGTCATAGCATAATGATTTAAAGGACAATCATTGATCAAGTAAGGGGTGGGAATTAATAAACATTTGCTTCCTCCTACTCCCTTTCGGACACATATGATTTATTATTATTATTAATATGAAGACTTTCTTTTGTTGAATATATCAATATTATCATGAATGTGGATAAATACTGTATTTTAACAATACGGTATTCTGTTTTTCACATTTTTTATTTTTTATTTGTTATTTTTTTAATCTGTTCGAAATAAAGATTGAAATTAAATGGAATAGCAGCAACAGAAATAACAGAATAAGAGTAAATATAGGAACAAAAAGAAACTAAATTACCTGTTGTCATAAGGTCACACTCTTATACCTTTCAGTGTGTGTGTTTAAGTGGATTAAAGTGTGTCATGGGGCTTTTTACGACATGTATGTGTTTTATGCTCTCTTGTAACTCTTTAAAATCAGTATGTTACTCACTGCACGGCGCTCACTTGTAAGAGGCAGCCATGCTTACAATAATTAGGATTATTATATGAATATTGAGTTTCATCGCCTCACTCATCACTCTACGGGCAGACAGGGATGATTTGATGACAGGAGATAGAGAGGAGGTATGATGTTATGATGGTGAACAGAGGCGGGCTTTGTTCCTCACCTTCGCTGGAGGTCAGCTGGCCCTTCAGCTGGTTGTAGCGCTCGGCTTTGGGCGGCAGCGGCGGCTGCATTTCTTTCTCATCCAGACCATCCAGACTGGTTTTAGACTGCAGGGAGGAGAGGAAGGTGTTAGAAGCATCCAGAAGAAGAATATGAAATAGAGAGGAAGCATGTGTTACAGCGAGGGATCCATCAACATACTCTCACAGACTATAGAGGCTTCCAAACCTGCAGAACTATAAGCAACCGCATGTCACTTCCGACAAAATGGAAACTATGAAATGATCTCAGTGTTGGATAGACAGTTTTGTTTCTCAATTAGGCATTAACTTGTTAAAAAAAGAGTGCTTCAATCATCAAGCATTGCACCTGGTTTAACCCTCCTATTGTCTTCGTTCCCCCCCCCCCCTTACTTTGGTGTTCGCGGTCAAATTTGACCGGTCCTGTTTTAACTGCTATTACATTAACACAAAAACCATTAATCATCACCAAATTTCATTTAACAGCCTTTCAAACTGTACATATTGTATCAGACTACTGGTACACATGAACAACTGCAGTAAATATACAAAGAACAGACACTGAACATGTATTGCGTGTGCCAGGTGTGATCCATGTGGGGGGATGGGCACATAAGAGGGGGGGGGACACATCTAGAGTGTGTGGTTGTGTGTGTGGTGTGTGTGTGTGTGTGTGTGTGTGTGTGTGTGTGTGTGTGGTGTGTGTGTGTGTGTGTGTGTGTGTGTGTGTGTGTGTGTGTGTGTGTTATCTGATCCGGATGGTTACTAATTCCTTTTCTTTATGGCGGGAACACCATGGGTGTTTCAAAGTTGACTAAATCATCCAAAATCCAATGAAAGTGGTGATCAGCAATTGTATATGTTCAAATGTCTACTGTGAAGGATATCATAAAGCCTTAATGCAATCGAATGTAAAACAAAAAAGTTATGATTGATGAAAGTAGTAAATCGGTCAGATTTGACCCGAAGACAACAGGAGGGTTAAAGCCAACATCAATACAGCAAAACCAGAGATGTTGTCTATTTAATTTCACATATTCTTCTTTCTTGTCCAAATCTGAAGCAGACATTATTCAGCAACTCGTCTGCTGACAGTAAATGATCTTGTGTTGTGCTAGGAGTAGGTAATATAGCCTGGAGCTGCTAGCCTGAGGCAGAGGTGCTGCTCAGCTCACTTCTTGATAACTCCACAGACCCCTTTCATTTTCTTAATTGTAGCCTTCAGTCCTCACTGACCCTCGCAGCTATGCATCAGACTGTGTGCAGCTCCCTGTGGAGCTCAGAGAGATGAATACAGCTGCTTTACATATGCTGGAGCAGGCTACTCCCCAAGACCTGTAAACACACTTTGATGTGTAAAACTGTTGGAGCTCTTCTTTTAAAGTCAGAGGACATTTTTCTTTTTCGCCCCTAAGTTTGTTTGCTGTTGCAGAAAACATGAGAAAAAATAAGAATTGGATCTTCTGCTTATATCTATATATTTAAAAGGGGATAAGATGCTTTTTTTTTTCACAGGAGCTCCACGTGAGGAGTGTATTTTACAGGTACATATGAAATCTGTTATGCATACTTAAAAGGACCCTCAATTACGTCCATCAAATATTTCTAAGTTGGGTTCAATAATAAATTGCATGATTTTAAACCAACGCTATGGCCTCTCAACCATTTCTTTATTGTATTTCTTTAAATAAAATGACATGTTTGTTTGTCTGTAAATTCACCGATATACACAAATGACAGACCTCAGGGGTCCAAGTCATTCCCTCCTATCAGTGAGTCACCTGGCTTTGACGTCAAGTGTCTAAAAATACCCTGTTTTACAAACAAGGATTTCTCATGACTGCTTTAGTGAGCGACTGATCCTTTGAGTCTTTCACTAGCAAAAAGGACCTGGGGATGCACTGGGTTTCACATTTCTGACGTGAGGCGGTGAGGATTAGGGGAGCTGAAATGCTTAAACCCCTGCAGAAGAAAGACCTACTGTGCGTCAGTTAAATAATGGAGTAACAGGTAGATGTAGTAATTGTAATAAAGTCACCTTGGAGCTGATGATGGTGCTGTGGATGCCGTTGTCGCTGATCTTGATGGTGATCTGTCTCTCTGAAAAGTCAGGTCTGATGAACGGGGGCTGAATTTTGACATGGGGCTTTTTCTTGGGGTCCAACATGTACCTATTGAAAAAAGAAGAAGAAGAAGAAGCAACAGTCATGAACAGAGTACCAAATTCACAGTTTTAAGTGTAGCCATCACATTTGAACTGTCTAGTGCCTCACTGAAAGCAACCAGGATGACAAGTGTGCAGCTCTGAAGAAAACAGCACACAATGTACTATTACAGTTCTCACATCAAAGTATAAATACTCAGGAGAAGGAGGAGGAGGGGGGGGGGGGGGGCTTCTTGACCGCTGAACAGGAGAGAAACATTTACAGCAAACTGAATTGACATCTTCAAATCTTACTGCACCGTCTTTAGAGCATCACCTTTGTTTCTACATCAGTAATACTCTGTGTTTCATGTACTGGCTGTGGCGCAGTGGACTAGTGCGTTAGTGTTCGGATCAGGGGGGCACAGGTTCAAACCCCACTGCAGTCAGCATGTCCTTGTGTCCCTGAGACACTTCACCCCAAATTGCTCCTGTGGGGATTGCCCACAGTATTGAGTACGTAAGTCGCTTTGGATAAAAGCGTCTAACATGTGACATGTAATGTGATGTAATGTAATGTAATATAATGTACCTAAGGGTGAAAGAAATACTCTGAAATGTGATAACTTCAACTATTATATATACTGCCAGGTTGCTTAATCTATAAAGATACAATATCATTTAGAAGTTAATCTGAATAAACAGCTGATTAAAGCGTTAAAATAAAAGTAGTAGAGTAAAAACTACAATAGCAGCTTTAAAATGTAGTCAAGTAGCATAAAGTAGCATAAAATGACTAATAGTAAAGTACATCAAATTGCACTTAATTACAGTTCTTGAGTACATGTACATCGCCAGTTTTTGTCACATAGGATTACATGAGAATATTGTAGTATATACGGACATATGATATATATGTATGATGTATTATATTGTATTTAGGTGACTAAAACCATGAATGGGTTAACAGAAAACCTCATTGGCAGTTCCAGTTTCTTAAATGTGAACATTTGCTGCATTTGCTTAAAAATATCTTTAAATACTTTTTCTCCGAGTACTTTAACTCCTAATACTTTTAAAGTACATTTTACTACTTGTATTTAAATACTTTTACTTAAGTACCATTCTTGATGCAGTACTTCAACAGGAAATTGAGTACTTTACAGTGTTGTATTGGTCATTTTACTCAAGTAAAAACTCTGAATATGTTTCCCACCCCTGCATGTATGAACACATGAATACAACATATGGAAATGCACCATAAACATTACTAGTTATTGATATGCTGCAATATATACTTCACTATGAACCCATGTTTTCCTTCCAGAGACACACAGTGCAGAGTACAATGGTGGAATAAGTGTGGTCCCATTTGGCGTTATAAAAAACACATTTCAAACACAATTTACTGGCAGAAGAACAGCATTAAAGTGAGTCGTCCGGGGCCTTTTCATAATTAAATGGCTGTCAGTGTTCAGTAATTGCTTTAATATTTAATGGCGGTGAAGCTTGGGGAGTGAAACATGGGATGTGTTATATCATCCAACACATTCAGTAATGAACCTACATAAAAAGCCATGTTACTCAATAATTAAAGCTGATTTCCAGGTCGACTAATTCCTGCAAACAAGAGCTCATTCGGTCGTTTTAACTCGACAGTTCACTGAATCAGAAACCTTCCTCAGGGCGGTGCAACAACTTAACACCGGCATGTCCACACACCTGCTGTTATCTCTCCGCAGTCAACACTGTTGATTTTGATAGAACAGGAATCGTCCCCATGGGTTTTAAAACTTGTGTTTGGGCTTTTAGCGAGCGGTGTGTGTAAAAAGCCTCGCTCTGCGCTCTGTTTCACTTTACTGTTGATCTTTCAGACTGATTCAATTCTCTCTGCCATCTGCCGCGCCCCAAGGGTTGCTGGCAGCAGAACAACACACACACACACACACACACACACACACACACCCAACACACAACACACACACACACACACACACACACAACGACGAGGCCACCACACACCACACACACACACACACACACACACACACACACACACACACACACACACACACACACACACACACACACACACACACACACACACACACACACACACACACACACACACACACACACACACACACACACACAGAGAAGTATCTTACCTTGGTGCCAGGGGACTGCATAAGACATAATCCACGTTGCCACAGCAACCTCTGGTGAAGGGATTTACTCCTCCACGAAACTTCCCCGTCACCTGAGGATCACAACGCCTCGTTATGAGCAGAGGAAGGCCACGGTGCACACACACACACACACATATATATAAAACAGGCTTGCATACAAACAGGATGACTCATTCTGTTAGAGCATCAGATAATAAGTGTGCATGGGAATCATTTCTGTCCGTATTATAATTGCATTATTCTCCTGTATGTGTCAGATCTGTGGAGAGCAGAGGTTTGCTTTGTTAAGATTCTCCGGATATTTCCCTAAAGCAAGCAGTGTGTGAGTGTGTTGATTTACGCTGGATAAACAGCCGGTGAATTGTGTGTGTGTGTGTGTGTGTGTGTGTGTGTGTGTGTGTGTGTGTGTGTGTATGTGTGTGTCTGTGTGTGTCTGTGTGTGTGTGTGTGTGTGTGTGTGTGTGTGTGTGTGTGTGTGTGTGTGTGTGTGTGTGTGTGTGTGTGTGTGTGTGTGTGTGTGTGTGTGTGTGTGTCTGTGTGTGTGTGTGAACTGTTGATTTACACTGGATAAACAGCCGGTGAATTGTGTGTGTGTGTATCTTTATGTGTATGTGTATGTGTATGTGTATATGTGTATGTGTATGTGTATGTGTGTGTGTGTGTGTGTGTGTGTGTGTGTGTGTGTGTGTGTGTGTGTGTGTGTGTGTGTGTGTGTCCTCTCACCTGTTCGTTGGTGGTGCGCCCTCGGGCTACGAGCACCATGTGGAAGCCAGTGAGCCCCAGGACTGGAATAAAGAAGAGCCCCGCGATGCACATCACCACCAGACTGCACCCCAAGGTCAAGATCAACAACAACACAGAGTGACAAGAAAAAACAACCACAAGTTCTATAACTATAACTTGCCACTACTATAGACAGTAGAATATCTTTCTGAAAATGTAATAAACAACCAAGTCAATAATAAAAAGAAGCAGGGTTTGTAGTTGGATTTCAAGTGGTCTTAGCCATTGTTGGGCATTAGTGAACGACATGCAGAGGATAAAAAAGGTCCTTAGATCCTTTAGTTAAGTAAAAATAAGTTATACTACAGTGTAGAAATACTCAGAAGGGAAAATTCTGCTTACAAAAATTGTACTTAAGTAAAAACACAAAAGCATTAGCATCCAAATATACTTAAAGTACAAAAACTAAAAGTACTTGTTATCCAGAATTTGCGTTTTTCTTTCATTTTATTGTATAACAATATCCCTTTCTTTAAGCGTCTTTCAGCACTGTGAGAAATGTAAATATATATAATATATTAAATATAAATCTGATTTGTTTTTGTAGGGTTTTTTGCATTTCGATTTTTTGAATATACATTTATTTTATAATTTCAAGTCACATGTACATTTTGAATGTCCTCATTGGTTTACAAAGTACTTTTAACTCCCTTTTCTATGTAGTTGTAGTTAACCTAACTAGATTTCTACATAGAGTACATTGCTGTACAGTTCAGCTCCTTCCAGTGTAATAACAGCTTGCAGAGTTTTTTTAAGTGTCTTCCCCACAGTGTTGGAAGGATACGTGACGGTGGTGTGCAGCGCTGCCAGAGACTCTCGGTGGTGGAGGACGAAGATGAGGCCGGAGGAGAAGACGCCCAGCATGTGGATGCTCAGCGACAGCAGGAAGAGGAAGAAGTAACGGTAGTTCCTCCGCCCGATGCAGTTATTCACCCAGGGGCAGTGGTGGTCGAAGTCCTGAGGAGAGAGAGAGAGGAAGAGAGGTACACTTTGAATATATATGTAAGTTGTCCAAAAGGTATTCAATTATCGTTACGACCTACGCATTCTCTCTTACAGTTAGGGGTTAGGAAATGTTCCATTAAAGTATTCAATCAATAATGCTGTTTTCTCAGTTCTGTTTCTTGTAATTATTTTGTTTTCCATAATCCCAAATGTCCCGTATCATCAATTCTTATTTACAAGTCACTTTGGAAATAACTGTATTACTAGACAGACATCGAGAGCTTGTTTTTTGCTTTTCCTGTTTAAAAAACTAACACAAGGATTACATGCTGTTAAATTCAGACGAATTAAAATATGAAGTAATTTGGGATGTTTGGAATGTGTCACATATTACACATTCATTAAGTTAAACGGTTTGCTTTCAATGCTCGTTAAAGGTATTAGTGAAGCAGTTTTGTTAAACAAGGACCATGCACAAAATACATTAATCTCAAAAAGAGAAAAAAAGATTTATGCCAGATTTGAGCAAATTGCTAATTTCCCCGGGCAGATTAACAATCAAAAACTCTAAAAACATTACTTAGTGTCTGTCACACTAACACTTTTAAAGTACAGATCTATAAAATACAAATATTGGTGTTGAAATAAGCGATATGATTAAACCTGCTTTGCCTTATATCACATCAAATGTTCACAAAACAGCATCAGATTGTTAAGAAAAAACAATCTATGTGTCAAACCTGGAGCTATATATAGATTTGTATTATATTATATTTATTGGGTTTTTCAACATAGAAAGAACATACAGTCACACTCCTGGAGCTATATTTAGATTAGAGTGCCGGCATGCATACTGAACATACAAAGTCTCTCTGTTTGCACATTTGTATTCTCACGCACGCACGCACACACCTCCACGCAGTTGTCACAGACGCTGCAGTGTGAGCAGCGCGGCGGCCTGTAGAAGTGACAGGTGGCGCACCACTTCATGCGGACCTGGATGCCCTTGATCTCCACGTTTTTGTAGAGCGGCGCTCGGAAATCATCGTCCTTGTCCTCGTCCTCGTCCGCTGTTCGGAAACAAAGACAAACACGGACAAATTAACACATGCATATTGTGAAGTGTGAATCAAACAAGTCACAAACACCAGAGACGGCAAAAGTTCACATATCCTTTACTCAAGTAGAAGTACAGATACTCGTGTTTAAAAATACTCTGGTGAAAGTAGAAGTACTGACTAAACTACTTTACTCAAGTAAAAGTAAAGAAGTATGGGCTTTGAAATGTACTTCAGTAAAAAGTACCCATAACTAGCAGCTGTTTTAAAGAGTACCTGACCTCCCTTTATATTAATAGAACAATAATGTCATTGTTAGCTAATGAATGTTTCCATGCTGAACAACGGCAACATGACAACGTTTTCATTGGTCCCTCTTCTTTAGAGAAGACCAGGAAATGATGGATACACGGATCGTGTTCAAATCAATAGGCACGCAATGACTCTAAATAATAATGATCACGCCACCAAACACACATTCAAACTAAAGGAACCAGCCTGTTTGGAAAATGTGAGAAGTAGAAAGTACAGGTATTTGTGTTCAAAATGTAAGAAGTAGAAAGTACAGGTATTTGTGTTCAAAATGTAAGAAGTAGAAAGTACAGGTATTTGTGTTCAAAATGTAAGAAGTAGAAAGTACAGGTATTTGTGTTCAACATGTAAGAAGTAGAAAGTACAGGTATTTGTGTTCAACATGTAAGAAGTAGAAAGTACAGGTATTTGAGTTCAAAATGTAAGAAGTAGAAAGTACAGGTATTTGTGTTCAAAATGTAAGAAGTAGAAAGTACAGGTATTTGTGTTAGAAATGTAAGAAGTAGAAAGTACAGGTATTTGTGTTCAACATGTAAGAAGTAGAAAGTTCAGGTATTTGTGTTCAAAATGTAAGAAGTAGAAAGTACAGGTATTTGTGTTCAACATGTAAGAAGTAGAAAGTACAGGTATTTGTGTTCAAAATGTAAGAAGTAGAAAGTACAGGTATTTGTGTTCAAAATGTAAGAAGTAGAAAGTACAGGTATTTGTGTTCAAAATGTAAGAAGTAGAAAGTACAGGTATTTGTGTTCAAAATGTAAGAAGTAGAAAGTACAGGTATTTGGGTTCAAAATGTAAAAAGTCAAAGTCAAAAGTCATCAGAAAAATAAGTAGTGGAGTAAAGTACTGATACCAGAAAAATGTACTTAAGTACAGTAACGAAGTATTTGTACTCCACTACTTATTTTTCTGACGACTTTTTACTTTTACTTCTTACATTTTGAACACAAATACCTGAACTTTCTACTTCTTAGACCTCTGACAAACACAGAGAAAAGTATGGTTATGATTTATGAATCCATTTGACAGAGACTACAGGGGAGCACGTTAAATATGAATGTTCCCCTGCTGTGAGCTGTCTGCAGAGAGCAAACACTGAGAGAAATCTTTATAGATGTGACTTTTCATGCCTTAAATATAAAGATTGATTAAAAAGCACACTGGAAACTGATTGGTTTAAATTCCCACAGACGTTATCAGAATGGAAGATTATTTTATGGGAATTAAATCTGTAACCCTAACGGAGCAGTTGCCTTTCTTTCTTAGACCATTTGGGGAGTAGATCAATTCTTCTCGTTTTTCATGGGATTTTGAGTGCTCTACAATACTACTTTTACTCTTTATCAACATTGTGTCTGACAGCAAACATGTCCTCCTGAGCAGCGAATATAATTTCACTATCATCAAATTGAAGATACAGCTTCCTTTGAAGTCAATTCAAAATTAACTACAGAGTATAATCCTGGTTGAAATGTATGTTAAAGAGCCTTAAACATATTGTCCTCAGTGATTCGGTCTTATCTTAATATTTGTTATTTTTGATATTTGTAAATGGAGCTGCTTTGTACCCTTTCGTATCAGATTGGCAGATCGCAACGTACCATATTATATCCAATTGTATCGTACCTTATTGTATCGTATCCTATTATATTGTATCGTATCATATTGTATCCTATTATATCGTATCATATTGAACCGCATTGTATTGTAATGTAACGTATTGTGCCGTGTTGTATCGTATCGTATCCTATCGTATTGTATCCTATTGTATTGTATCGTATTCTATTGTATTGTATCCTATTGTATTGTATCGTATCGTATCACATCGTGTCGTATCATACTGTATCGCAACATATTGTATTGTATTGTATCGTATCCTATCGTATTGTATCCTATCGTATTGTATCCTATCGTATTGTATCCTATCGTATTGTATCCTATCGTATTGTATCGTATCGTATCACATCGTATCATACTGTATCGCAACATATTGTATTGTATCGTATCCTATTATATTGTATCGTATCATCTTGTATCCTATTATATCGTATCATATTGAACCGCATTGTATTGTAATGTAACGTATTGTGCCGTGTTGTATCGTATCATATCCTATCGTATCCTATTGTATTGTATTCTATCGTATCACATCGTGTCGTATCATACTGTATCGTAACATATTGTATTGTATCGTACCATATTATCGTATCCTATTGTATCACATCGTACCGTATTGTATTCGCGTGCTATATTATCACACCGTATTGTATCCTATTGTGTCCTATTGTATCGTATCCTATTGTGTCGTAACGCAACATATTGTATTGCATCGTATGCTATTGTATCATACCCTATTGTATTTATTCCATCACAGGTCAAATACAGTACGGTACAAATATTTTTCCAAGCACCCTTTGTGCGACTCTGCAGTAAATCAAGCTGTTTCTGAGAGGCTTTGTACTCGGGGCTACCTTCCTGCCACTGAGAGCTTTTTTCTTAGGAGCTGCGGTGGAAAATAACAAGTCTTTCAGCTGATCAAAATGCTCTTTCAGACAAGGTACACATAGCTGCAAGCAGAGACAAATAATTTCACAGTGCAATAATAACTGCCGGGAGATCTAGGTAAGCCGAACACACACACAAGCAGAGAAAGTAGGAGAGAGAGAAAACAAGGTAGAGCTCAGAAATAAACAGTTTTATCAGCACAGATTGTTAGTATGGCTTTCAAGTCTCTTCAAACTGATCGACCAATCCAACACACAAACATCAGATCTGACAGTTTTTTTTCTACAAATGCTTGATGCAATACATATTAAGCTACAAAGCATTGGCCATGTCATACAATGTATATCTACACTGCAGAAATAACACTCAGTTCAGGTTGATAAGGATATGTTGTTGACTAGAACCATGACACACACACACACACACACACACACACACACACACACACACACACACACACACACACACACACACACACACACACACACACACACACACACACACACACACACACACACACACACACACACACACACACACACACACACACACACACACACACACACACACACACACACACACACACACACACACACACACACACACACACACACACACACACACACACACACACAATAGCAAACACAAACACCAACACCAACACTACTCATTTAAATCACTGACACTCGCCCCGATAAGATAATTGCTTGCATAAAGGTCAGGAGGAATATCATTAACATTATGGGCTGTAATGCTTCATGAATACTGAGCGACACAGAAGCATTATGGGGATGCTGATTATCAAACTTTTACACGCCACATTCATCTCTCTGCCTCGTCCTCATTTTGCAGTTTCTCCAAGTAAGAAAATGACAAAGAAACCTCCGTGCCGTACGTCAATGACCTGAATGGAAAAGTGCCTTTCATCCTCAGTGTTACATCTGGATGATGGAGTGATTCACTCGGCAGATGTCACATAATGGCCATGTCATTTCTTCATTTTTTTTTCATTAAAACTTTACTGCAGGGTCTGCTACCGGTGAGATACGACACCCGCAGCTCAGAAGGCTCTTCACCCCTCAGTAGTCTATAAAACACAGCGTGTGTGTGTGTGTGTGTGTGTGTGTGTGTGTGTGTGTGTGTGTGTGTGTCACCTCAGTGGAGGTAGATAACCTGCGCTTTACACAACCTAATGGTTATTACCCCTTTATGAGCAGAGGAAGCTCTTCCTGAAGACAGGTGCTTATCATTTACAAGGGCATTACAAACATCCCCGGGGAAGGGTTCAATCATCATCCCTTCACTGCAGCCTGAGGACTGGAAAAGGCTTTATGTGGATAATAGAGTAAGTCATAAGGAGGGTCACTTTGATATATGTGACGCTCAGAAGGAAGGAGAATACTCATGGTGTTGTGCATAAACATTTATAACGCCATTATCTTAAGATTTGTCAGAAATATTGCAGATTTTTCTGTTGTTTTTCCTAGAATAAAGTTAGATAAAGCATTTTTCACCAGCTACAGGAACTAATTTGTACATTAACAAACATGCTTGTTTTTTATCTGTAATTATTGTTCTTAATTTATACTCTTTAAGTGTGATATTTGAATGTTGTTTTTAGGTTTTTTTTGCATGTAAGGTGTTTATTATTGGAAGAATGGAAGTATCACATACAGAGCATTTGGTCCAACTAGTTCCTGAACAGTGTCCTTCACATGCTGATATACAAGAGAGGGAGTTACACAGTCACAAGATGGAGGAATAGAAAGCAGTATTCAATGTTTACTTCAGATTAGCTCCACGTCAGAAATGATCATGCTTGTCATATGTCTATCTCCATAGAGGCTGAATCATCATGTTAATCACATAGCTATCATATGCCTCAAACCGTCCTGATGCTCTTCTAGGTAATCATACATCCTGTCATGCACACAGCTACAGTTGGGATACCTTTGTTATCATGTGGACTCTGATATTGGAAGAGGACATTCAGTATTTTCCCAACACTTATGCATACTAACCTCGGGGGTAGACGCCAGGGTCCATGAAGGTTGCCATGCTGAAGTTGGCCAACACGAAGAGGAAGACGAGGCCATTGTAGAGCGGCACAGCGGGAGAGATTACCTTCGTCAACCAGGGGCACCTGGAGAGGCAAAAAAGAGACAGAGGTCAGGATGCTGCACGTCACATACATTTGATCTCACATCACAGTCATGTCACATTTTGATAATATGTTGAATTCTGTTTTAGGCTTAGTAGTTAAGACGATTCCCAGACCGTAACTTATTCAAATGCACTCTTTTAACCAAAACCACAGATTTTATTCTAAAGCAATATGAACACAATAACAGAGAGTGACCGGTGGATGCCAGAGCTTGTGACCAACAGAAAACAAAACAAAAATAAGGCGAACAGCTTGAATCACTAATCCTAAAAGTACTGTAATTCCTCGTAAATTACCAGCACAACTGTGAGATTAATTAACTGAAAGGTTGATCCTTAGCATAATAGGCTAGACTTTAGAATGACCTATTTCAAATATATGAGAGTTTTGCAACCAAAGTATTGGACAATCAACTACATGAAATCGGTTTTGAGACATTTCACTTGGACCTTGAACCATAGACTTTATTTAAAGTGGACCTATCATGCTATATTTGAATAATATAGTGTAGGACCATACCTATATAAGGCATATTTATACTTTTTTTTTTTTCAAAATACCAAACAGATCATGCATTTTAGCCATGCCTCATTTTGCTCAATTTGACAATTTCTAGCTCTGTTTTAGCAAGGGCAGATTCAGTGAGAACAGCACCATCTACAGGCCTGGCATATGTACTACAGCGTCTCCAGCTCTTTCGAACGGCAATGGCCGTGGCTGTCTCCTCCTGATTGGTGGAGTTGGCCCAATAGCCGTAGCGCCACCGTCCTGACGTCAGGACAGTGTTCAAATCTGGATCAGTTTTGATCAGATCCGTTGCAGCCCCTTTTTTTAGAGATTTGGGTATGGAGGAAAATAGAGAGGGTTGTGTTTTCTGACACTTGGTGAGTTCCCTGGAACACCGGGGACACATATTCATGTATAAAAGACGTACAAAAGTGCATTTTGCATGATAGGTCCCCTTTAAGAAAAGGACAAAGTCTTGTGATGTAAACCCATTAGTCTGTGGACTACAGTTTTGATGCTGAACAAGACATTATAAGCATTGTGCTGTAGTGAAGAATACCTTCAACTAGCGAGTGAGACCATAAACCAGTTAGCAAAATGTTAACAGAATCCAACGGGATGTCATATCATTTTCTCATAGACTTCTATACGATCTAACGTTTACAAGTCACCCCCTGCTGGCCATTAGAAAGAATGCAAGTTTAAGGCAGTTTTGCATTAGCCTTACTTTTCAGACCCTGAGCTGCTGATGGTTCTTAACAAAATGTCACCATGAGCTTTTAACTTCATTAGCAAAATGTTTACTGAGACAAAAAAACAAAGTGACAAGTAGGGTTTGTTTCTTATAGACTTCTATACAACTGGATTACTTTGCAACCAGTGGAGTCGCGCTCTGCTGGCCGTTAGAAAGAAGGCAAGTTTAAGGCATACTTTTCAAACCCAGAGGTTGCTGCTGGTTCTGTAAACAATATACTGTATTTCAGTCGGGACTAAAGTAATGAACCTTAGAGCATTGCAGTTAGCATGTTTAAAAGTAAAAATCAACCAAACTTGGATTTCACTTTTATTTTGTGTTTCATTCTTGCCTAAAAAGTCTACCTCTGAACTATAGCTGTTGAATTTATGCCATCAAACACATCTGATGCTACTCTCTGCTTGTAAACCCCACCAACCACCTCAATGGAGACCTGTCAGACCAGGCGTTGAGGTTATCTACAGTGAACTTCCTTTATATTCCAACACATTTTGCAACAAGGCTGACCTTCTCCACTGCCTGCAGGTCACAAGTGCTCAGTGCGAAATATTTCACTTTGGAGACAACAAATCACACACACACACACACACACACACACACACACACACACAACACACACACACACACACCACACACACACACACCACACACACACACACACACACGTCTAGAAACTGTGAGCATCCTCGGGCTGTAACTCAGATCGACCATTTGTGCTTCCTCTGTAGAGATGAAACGCCGTCAGAATGAAGATGTGTTAACGCCTTCTGAGTTAAAACACACTGCAGAGAGAGAGAGACCCCGCAGGTCAGAGGCATGCAGAGAATTTATGAATAATAAAGTATCTCGCTATAGAGGGAGGAAGGGGTTTGAAGAGAGAGACCCTTTCACATGTGGTTCCAGGTCTTTTTCTGCCCTTTTGATTATGGCTGGGCAAACATTTACATGATAATGAAATTCCTTTCAGTGGAATCAAATAACCAGATATTGCATTATGTAATTGTCTCTTTTAAATTGATCAAAACAAGCACATACTGACTCAAATGTGTCAGAAAAGTAGACATAAATCTATTTTATATTGATTTATATTACACTTTACCACTTATTTTACCGCGATTAATCAAAAGGACTCCATTTAATATAAACTATTTTGTTGAAATGAATACTTTAAATGTTCATACCTATGATATTGTCATAGTTTAAAGCTTGCAATACTTTATTTATGTTCAACAATATTACATACATTTCTGAATTTAATCAGAAAATACTTTAAATGTATGTTTGATTCACACAGGAGTAAATAAACATTTTATGGAGAGTATTTATTTAATTACCAGTTTTTCTAATCTTAAGTACTTTTCCTTCTTAGTTTTCTTTTAATATATATGTATAGATATATTCCTACTGGTGGTATTTACTGTCTGTTTATTTGTATTTAATTGTATTCCGCTTTTTAACTCATGCGCACAAAACAAAACCATTTCAAATTTGTGAAACAATTAAATATATCTAATCTAAAAAAACATGCTATACCTTTATAGATATAGTTGGTGAGATATATTTGGACAGTCGATCTTTTCCATATTGCTTAATGACGAACACAGTCACTTGCTCTTTTAATAGATACACACACACAGCACGTTTCAAGATTATTCTGATGTCAGAAAGTCCATTTCCTGATCCTCGTGCCCTGAGATCATCCTCAATCCATATCTCCTCCTCTTCTGCTTTGATGAATAATTCAGAGCCGTGGCTGCAGGGAGCCGCTGGGAGAAGATGGAGAGGATGAAGAGGATGGAGAGGATGGAGAGGATGAAGAGGATGGAGAGGAAGGAGAGGACGGAGAGAGGTGGAGAAGATGGAGAGGATGAAGAGGATGAAGAGGATGGAGAGAGGTGGATGAGAGAGGGTGGAGAGGACGGAGAGAGAGATGGAGAGGATGGAGAGGATGGAGAGAGGTGGAGTAACCATCAGCTTTGTGAGGCATATGTGAGCTTAATTCACACTTCCTAGATATCACTGCAGTATATCAGAGCGCTGCTGGGACCAATTCTAGTTTCACTCACGTCACTTTTAGCTCACACATTATTTTATTCTTCAATTAAACATAACAATCATAGTATAAACTAATTAGAGGAAGAGATCCGCCTTTTATAATTGAACAATCACCAGGAAAGTGGCATACTGTCTAGATGTGGAGAAAAAGGAATAAGGTAAAGAAGATTTAAAATTATACTTTTAAGTCTTAATTGATGTTACACACGCCCTTGGGTTGTACCTATAATTGTGTCATAGCAGCTTTGGATGCAGGTAGACAAGGTAAAAACACCTAACACATTGTTTAAAACATGTATCTCTGTCGTCGACAAAATCCCAATTTAATAGTCAGGAAGAAAATGCTAAATCTGCCGGGTGCATGCCTGCAGCTTCACCGTTTGGGAGTCTGAGAGCAGACAGCGTGGGAGGGAGTGTGACGGAGAAAGCTTGATTAGAGCCACAGACTCTGGTTAATTGTGTAGGAGTTAGAAGTAACCACAGAGCACTTATCAACACTGTTTACAAGCCACTTTAACTGCTTGTGTAACCAGGGGCAGACTGGGACTAAAAATCAGCCCGGGACTCATAGGCGGATTTTGCGGAGGGGCAGTGGCTGAAATATGTTACAGCATTACTACGTCGAAAACTGTTCCAATACAAATATTTCGTACATCAATATTTTAATAAGGTAGGACACTGGTTAATAATATTGTAGCGTGTTCAAGTAACCCAGGGATATAGTTATCAAATAAGTATAAGCAGTGGCGACTGGTCATTAGGGGCAGGTGGGGCACAGCCCCACCTAGTGTCAGCAGAAAGTATTACACATAATGATTACAAAAAATGCAAAGAGATGCAAAAAAAGAAATACAAAAATATATAAAATATATTTTAAGGTCATGTTTAATCATCTGATTCGTCTGTACATTGCTGTTTTAGTCTGTGTTCTTCTAATTAGTGTCTACAGTGCCGTTTTGACCCATGTGGGACAAAACCTGACCATGCCCCACCCACTCACTGTCAAAGTGAACGGTGACTGTAAAAACTACACTGCGCATGCTCAGAGTATTTTTCAATGTAATGTGTGTGGCAAAAAAAAAAAGACCAAAGGGGCACAGAGCTGCCATCCCCACCATACGTCATCTCACATCATTCAGAGCTGATTGGCTGTAAGTACGTGTACCGCGAAAAGTGTGCTGTGTGAAGAGGAGACGAGAGAGCTGCAGTGACGCGTCCTAAAACCAGGAAGTAAGCTGCAAAAAAGCAATGAGGTTTCTACATACTGTAGGATTTTAGAAAATAGCTCGAAATAAGATCTGTGGGAAACGTACCTGTTAGATAAATGCACGTTTTGTTCAGCCGGATAACATCCACATGTCTACCCTACTTTTATAATTTTTTTATCATAAATCTATCGATTAGATTTATGATAGACTTTTGAAACTACAAGAAGATAAGGAGGACTTTTACAAAAAAGTTATAGACATTTTTGTCCAGAAGGATAGGCAAATGGACTTCATCTTCAAGTCAAGGTAAGACCGCAATTTTATTGAAAATGGGATCTTACTAAGAGAGAACAATTCAATATTTAAATGATAAAATTACATTTTTTGGGTATCCTTTTGTTGAACTGTCTGTTTAAAATTAATCGAAGCATCAGACAAAAAAAGCTTTTGAAAAT